TGGAGGGCGGTTTTGCCGCCCAGAGCCTCTCTGGAGGCTGACAAGTGTGAGGTGCCTCCAGAAGGACGTGCTGAGACCTGCTCTTCAGAGGATCTCTCAGTCTTTGCTCACAACCACGTTCCTGAATTTTCCTCGTTTTGGAACAACACGTTCTGCGCCCAACGCGATCGTTGTGTGTTGCGTAAATCGTTGTAAACGCCACCCCAAAACACTGGTTTAAAAACCGTGTAGAAAGAGATATTTGGATGCGAATGAGCTGAAGGTTCTTGCGTTAGCTTCCCATCGGGTTTTCATTTTGGATCTCTGCCCTGAACTGAGCATTGCATTTGGCCTTGGGCAGACCGAGAATGGTGCTGGAGGTATCGTGAATACACAGGAGTTATTGTCATGAAAAGAGTTGATTTTTCCCCCCCCTGCCAAGGAATCCTTTAGATTGAGTTGCAAAACACCAAAGATTTTAAGGTCTGAATGCCTGGTTTAATGCCAGACGTGCACGTCCGAAGCAGGGCAGGGCTGGAGGGTGGTCCCATGGTCCCACCAGCCGTGGGTCAGGTTGGTGAAAAGCCACGAGTTGGTGCAAACTTATCTTCCTTTGGTGGCTCAGGAGGCAGGAGCCCCTTGGAAACCAGTCTGATGCTGATAGCTAGCGCTGGTGACAGCTGGGCAGCAGAGAGCAATTAATCTCCTGCACAGAAAGCACTAGAGAACAGAAAAAAAATGAGCTTTAACGTGGCTGCCCCCATGTCCACACGCTCTGCACAGGCTCTGCTTGCTGGTCACGGCTCCATCCCTAGGGCTGGCACGTTGCATACCTCGTTTATTCTAATTTTTAAAATTTCTCCATCAAATGTACTCCAGAAAGGCTTGTTTATATTCAGCTGCTGGGGAGTAACCCGTGGCACTTGGAAAGCATCGAACGCCTCCCACATTGGGAGCGAAGATCTACCTGTTGCCATGGTGTGGGAGAAGAAAAAAGTCTTTAGAGAGGCAGAAAGCCAGGAGGGATACTGCTATTACACCAGAGAGGTACAATTGTGAGATTAAATTGAACTGCGAGCCATTTGAAAGGGAAAACAGTTTCTCTCTGTGTAGTTACAAGCTGAACCCAGAGCCGCCGTCTTGTAATTACAGCACGGGTCTAATTAACGCCGCGCGGCAGGGTTTGGCAGCTGTGCCACGAGAAATTGCCAGCTGTACCTGAACGCTCGGGCATTCCTTTAGGATTTACAGCCCAGGCAAAGCCTTTATATCGCACGATGGCTGCTGGAGGACCTGCAGGAACCTTTGCAGGACGGTCGCTCTCCTTTGTGTACGAGATGGAACCGCGCCTGTGCATGGCTGGGTGCCCCTGTCTGTCCTCGGCGGCTTAAAAGCTTGTGCAGAATTAGAGCAAAAAGTCATGGAATGGTTTGGGTTTTTCAGGGTCATCTAGTCCAAGCACCCTGCAAGGAGCAAGGATGTTTTCCAGTAGATGAGATTCCTTAGAGCCTTGTCCAACCTGGCCGTGAATGTTTCCAGGGATGGGGATTCCACCACCTCTCTGGGCAACCTGTGACAGTGTTTCATCACCCTCATCATAAAAAAAAAAAAATCCAGTTATTAATGCCGTCTGTTTTATGGTAATAGTGACTAAGAAATTCCACTAAAATATATGGAAAATAAGATTTTGCTGCCTGTAAGTACTGATATAAGCCCCTCCACTGGGAATGAGGAATAACAGGCAGCAGAACGTGTCAGGGAGGGACACCCCATGGTAGGTAGTGATGGAGAGTGATGCACCGGGAAGGCTGATAGTGTTGACGTCAGAAACCTCCAGTTTCTGGCATTAATTTTTAATGAACTTAGAAGATGTGCAAAGCCTGAGCAGATTCTGTAGGAGGCAAAAAGGCCTGGCCATGGTGGCAGGTGGGCAAATCGTCCTGGAGAGCTCAGCTGGCGGCTGCAGAGCTGCTCCCCAAAGGGAGAGTCAACGAGGGCTTCCACAGACACCTTCTTGTCCAAAAAAATTCCCTTTTTTGCTCCCTGAGGCTCCTTGGAGCAGAGGGAGCTGTGGGGTCCACCTAGAGCTTGGTGTGCCATCCGCTTCTGGAGAAAATTAGTCCCAGAGAGGTGAATTCGAGGGGTCTTAACGTGGGCTAAATCAATGTGCGGGGGTCCAGAAAACATGGTATTAATCTCTTGTGGTACAGTAGTGCCTCTTGGCTGCAAACAGGCTTTATTACCTTTCTGAATAATTAGTTTCAGCCATTAACACGTTATTTTCTATAACATAATAATATTTTTATATGTATTTATGTGGTTTTATATACTTACATGTTTACATATAAGCTATTTTGTATATTAACATATTTGCTATATTTTGTATATACTTGAGCTACAGTATTTTATTTAATAGAGTAATACAGCCACCACCCGTGGTGACAAAAGCCCTGCAGTAGCTGAGTAATTCTGAAGTCCATCAGTAGATGGTGGTAGAAGCATCGTCGTCACCCTGTGCCACAGAGTTTCCAGTTGAGTTGCAGCTCAACAGGACTCAACAGGAGCTTGCTAGCACGGGCTGCTGGTCCTGGCTCAGTTTTTGGGTGGGGATGACCATCTTCTTGAGGTGGTAGAAGGAAAAAATAAAAAGAAAATAGCTGTTTTTTCCCAAGGCCAATGCTAAATCAGGACAACAACATCCTTTCAAAGTGCCAATGGCACCGCAGCGTCTTGCCCGTGTAACCTGTGGGGTTGCTGGTGCTGGGGTGGGGGCTGTGGTGTCACCACTCCTTTCTCCCCTCACCTCCCCATCCTCCCCGCAGATTACAAAGTGGGATGAATCTGCAGATTTGTTTCGTGAACGACAGCGGCAGCGACAAGGACAGCGACGCCGATGACAGCAAGACGGAAACCAGTCTGGACACGCCATTGTCGCCCATGGTGGGTCTGGGAAACCATCCCGTAGAGGCTCTGGAGCGTGGAAGCCGTAGGGTGTCTGTAATGGCAGCTGATAAAGAGTTGATCCTATTAAAAAAAAACCACCACTAAATCCAGAGCAGCATCTTCAGCCATCAAGAAATGCGAGATGCTGAGGGACAGATAGCAAATCACCCCCGGCTAGCCCAGAGCTGCTGCAGAGCAGATGCCTTTGTGTGAAGGTTGTTCCTTCCTCCTTTTCTTTTTGGCTTTGATAATTATCAGGGCAGTAATGGATACAAAGTGGTATCAGCTCCCACCAGCTTTCCTCTGCTTTCTTTTCCTTCGTGAATGTAACACTGTGGCCCAAGATGTTTCCCTCCAGCTTAACCGTCCCGTCGACACCTATTGAATTGCTTGGCTCCACTTTCCATTTATAAAGTCCTCAAGTTGCTATTAATAGCCAAAGGGGCCTGCCTGGGAATGACTTTTGATTTTTAAAGGTAATCTTGAGGCTTAAAATTACGACAAAAAAAATATTGTGCTCTTCACCCTTTCTGTAAAAATGATACCGCTTGTAAGGGCACAAAAACACATGAAGCCAACAGCAAATTTCTTTTTCAAGCAGAGCTCGTCCTACTCCGACAGAGACACGACGGAGGAAGAGTCGGAGTCCCTCGACGACATGGATTTCCTCACCAGGCAAAAGAAACTCCAAGCTGAAGCCAAAATGGCCTTGGCTATGGCCAAGCCCATGGCCAAAATGCAGGTCGAGGTGGAAAAACAGAACAGGAAGAAGTCGCCCGTAGCGGATCTCGTAAGTGGGAGCCGTGGGACGGCGTCGGGGGGTAACATCAGCGCGTTGGTGGGTTTGGAGATTCGGGTCAAACGTTGTGTGGATGTTTGAGCTCCCGGTGGAATCGTCGATGCACGCTCGTGAGGGGGGGGATGCAAGTAATACAAACGGCCGCTGTTCAGGTATAGCTAGAGGAAAATGATAGAGAATTGCAAATTTGTTTTTCAGCTGCCACATATGCCTCATATAAGCGAATGCCTGATGAAGAGAAGTTTAAAACCCACCGATCTAAGAGACATGACTATTGGGCAGCTACAGGTGATAGTCAATGATCTCCACTCGCAGATAGAAAGTAAGTGACACTTGCTTAATTGTTCTTTAATATGGCCCATTTAATTAAGAATATTTCTCCAGGATGCACATAGAAGCGTTGGTAGATGTACGATGACAAGAGTCTGTGGAAAAGGCACACCACGGTAGTTGGAGATGGAGTTCCCTCCAGATTGGAGTTGGAGTTCCCTCCAGATTGGAGTTGGAGTTCCCTCCAGATTGGAGTTGGAGTTCCCTCCAGATTGGAGTTGGAGATGGAGTTGGAGATGGAGTTGCCTCCAGATTGGAGTTGGAGATGGAGTTGGAGATGAAGTTCCCTCCAGATTTGGCTCCTTTGGCTTTTTTCTTTCCTTTTTCCCATTTCTCCTATAACGTTCGCTCGGCTCCGTAGGAGAGGAGGGTTGTGACATTGTGCCAGCACTGAACACCCCACTCATAACTCAAAACCTGGTCGAGTAAAAATAGCCTTGGGATGTCTACCTGTCCTGAGAGCACCTGTCATTTGTGGCTTTCTGGCTGGGTGACACCACGCCGTGGCATCAAAACCACCCAAAAGTGGAGAAACCTTCCGTCTCAGAGTAAATCCACTCTTAACGGGGCTTCAGCATGTTTTGTGGATACTTATATTTGCCTGCAGGTTGCATCACTTGGTCTGTCTTTGCTCTCTCCAGAAGGTCCAAGCTTTACTTCCCGCAAGGGATCTCTGTCTCCCAGTCAATTAATTAATTAATTAATCATTTGGGCTGTAGACTTCTCTGGTGGCTGTAGGTCCAAAAAGAAGGGAGGTGTTTGCCTGCAGTGGGTTATGGTTTATCCTAAAAACACGCATCCTTTGGGGAGGTTCCTCCTGGTTCTCCACACCAGCTTACGTCCAGCGCGGTGCGGGAAGGATGGTGTAGCAGATCCCAAACGAGGTTCATCACAAACTCACCCCGTTTTCTCCCCAGGCTTGAACGAGGAGCTGGTGCAGCTGCTGCTCATCCGGGATGAGCTGCACACGGAGCAGGACGCCATGCTGGTGGACATCGAGGACCTGACCAGGTGAAGGAGGCTCCTCAGGAGGTTTTTTTTTCTCTCTCCTTGCAGGGTCCCAGCTTGCCTTGGGGATTTTTGGTACTAAAGCTTTTGCTGTCAAAGGGCAGGAATGAGGAGGATGCTGCTCTCTCCTCCAAGACAAAAAATCAAGGCACTCACGTTCTGGAGCTTTCAAGAGCTTCCCAAACACAGGTGTTGTTCTTGAGTTGGATTTTCCCCTTTCTGAAGCCTGAAAAGAGCCTGGGAAAGAGCGATGCTGCCAACCCCCAGAGCATCAAAGGAAAATGCAAGCAGCTCCTCATGTTGCCGTGCTTTCCTCACTGCGGCAAGCCTCTGCCGTCAGGAGGAGTTGACTGACAGGAGAATTTCTAAATCACTGAAATATTAATTTCCAATAGTTGATAAAATGGCAAGACTTGCAGGATATCTGTGGGTTTCCCAAAGGACGCCCATCGCCTGGGCAGCAAGGCTTGAGAGGCTTTTGAGATAACTCATGACACGCTGCAGAAACGGGAAGGAACGTTGGAAGTGTGGGGAAAAAAGCAGGTGCCCTGGTTATTGTCTGCACACCCAGACTGCGGTTTCGAAACTGAAGCATTGAGCTTGCCTAAAACAAGGCCTAAATTGGTTTCTGTTTTAAAACATCATGGTGCTGCGTAGCAGCCGGTTGAGGTTTGGTCGATGCTCTTCCTGGGAGAAGTTTCCACCAGCCGGGGTGGCCCTGAGGGGTTTGGGGAGCTTTTCTTGGGCTGCTCGGGGACAAGCAGGCGGGTTGTCACTTCTCTGTCTGGCAGAAACCTGGGGCATCTCATCGACAGGCGGCTGAAGAGGAGCCAGCGTGTGCCCAGGGGGCCGAGAAGGCCAGCGGCAGCCCGGCTTGTGGGGGGAAAC